CTGCTGCTAAAATGAGGTTTGAAGACATTGCTGAGAGTTACTGTGTAATCAACAGACACATCCCCACCCATTCCACTGTGTCACTGTTGGTGGATTCGATGCAGGTGAAATTCTTCAGAACATCATTTTCAATCTTCTGAGGGCAATTTCAGGTCACTGAAAGAGACTGTTGATTCTATTTGATAAACAGTTACAGTTTCCTGTTAAACACTGACATGTTTCTAAGGAAAAGAATTTCATTTTTCCCTCTTACCAGTGATAAAATTCTGTAGATAACATATTGTAACATATCTGAGTAGGTTGCATATCTTTGGCATGGGTAGGGGGATTGAAAGGAATTTGCTGTTACAACATTATGTGGTATATTAAATCTCTGCACTTTAACCACCATTTCAATCCATTATTAGTTTGTACCACTACCTTAATTTCAGGAAAACAGGAACATTCAATTAATAAACAGAATTGGCAGATGTAATACTTCCTGTCTTGGCTTGTCAATTCAGCCCATTTTGAACATAACATGGTCTCTTGTTCTGCAGTGATTTACAGACAAAGAGGAAAAGACTGCTGCTAAGAATAGACACAGGATCAGTCTATCAAGCACCAGGATGACAGAACAAATTTAGACCATATATTGCTGCCTTGCACAATGTCTGAAACTAGAGCAATGAATCTTGATGATGCCAAAACCAGACAAATGACTTCTCCAAGCTTTTTTTACATGAACAATTTATTGTTTTATTTGTTGCATATACTGTAGCATATAAAACAGTAATTGTTTCAGAATCGTTCATGAAATCTGTGTCAAGTATGTATTTCATGCACGAAAATATTACCTTTAAAAAATAAATTACATTATAATAGCATGCAGAAATAAATGCTTAACACTTATTGTAACATATTAACAAAGACGTCCGATTTTTTAACTGTTTATTAATAATAATTGCTAATTGTGACATTTTATTAAAAGGTTATATTGAATGACAATGTTTTGGATAATATCCACAATTCAATACTGCCCTCTTGTGTAATTTTGAGGTGTTTGCTTCTTGTTTACATTGACCTGAATTTTACATAGTAATAGGACTTCGACTCCCAAAATGCAACAGGGTTTCAGGAAAGGGCGGGGCTTCTGCTTTCAGCTGCATTGTGGGAGCGGGAAAACGCCACAAATAGTCACGTTGCTCAACTGTGGGGTTTTCTACGAAGTCGTCGTTACAAGGTACTGTAATGTTTTATGACACAAACCTATTATTTGTAGTTTGTTGTTTTGTATATGAAGTATACGGTCCCGTGGGATCTGTTCGATGCTTTAGCGGAACAACGTCCAGACAGTCATTGTTTGCTTGGTTTATTTATTCGACTCGTTTGAGGCCAGTTTAGGTATTCATTCTGAATGTGTTAGTTTAGTTATTTAAGTCAGTGTAAGCTAACTTTATTAAATCCCAAAACGGAATGGTTTTCATGACGTTCCATTTTTGAGCGTGGATATGCAATATCCTGAACGAATGATTCTTATGAGCCGGTTCTTTTTAGTGAATCAAAAGTATTAAGCGTAACCAGTGTAGTCTGATTCCCGAATGAATTGTTCTAATGAGTCGGCTCTTTTTAAGTGACTCAAACACTTAATCAGACTTAACAGTGAATGATTCTCTCAGCTCTAGTTGTTGTTTTAATCATGTACGATTCTAAACTATCCAAAACTTGGTGTTAATTAAAAAAAATTTCGTCTTCAGAGTAAAACATGTCTATTGGTGTTCCCATCAAAGTCCTGCATGAAGCAGAGGGTCACATCGTGACCTGTGAGACAAACACGGGCGAGGTGTACAGAGGCAAATTGATCGAAGCAGAGGATAACATGAACTGCCAGGTACTGCAGAATCACAATTCATTCTTGATGCGTTCCATCTACATTACCCAAACGCTTACTTTAAACCTGTATACATTTGCACTGCAGTGAGTCTTAAAGAATGAAACTAACTGCACTTGTTTTGTGTGAATTAGATGTCCAACATTACAGTGACCTATCGAGATGGCAGAGTGTCTCAGCTGGAGCAGGTGTATATTCGCGGCAGCAAAATACGCTTCCTCATTCTGCCAGACATGTTGAAAAATGCCCCTATGTTGAAGAGCATGAAAAACAAAAACCAAGGAGCAGGAGCTGGAAGAGGCAAAGCTGCTATTCTCAAAGCTCAAGGTTGGTCAATGGTATCTTTGACTTCACAGTATTATGGTAATATTTATAATATTACTTACAGTATTACATTAGTTACTGCAGGTGTACTGTGCTTTTCGGTGGTTGCAATGTCAAATGCTTTTTAGCCATATATTATTTATATACTCCCAAATTTGTT